AAAACAGATTGTGTTTTTTTTTTTTATTGGTTGTTCAAAACCTTATAACTCACTGTGATGTTCATTATATGAAGATAATTTTAATCTAATCTTTTAATTTCTAGTTTGAAGGGAATCTGATTATTGTGTTTATCTATCTAAAGTTCTAATCTCATCTGTAATTTTCTCAATTAGCAAACACTTAGTGAGTTATTTGTATGCAAATCACCAGGTCTTCATTATGACAGTGATGCATTTAAGCAATTGGTTGTGCAAAATTTTCTCACTCTAGAAGCAACATACACCATAGGACACCGATTACAATGGCCACAGCATCAATAGGCTATGCAGTCTGATGTGACCTTCTCAGTTCATCACAGGCTGAAATGCTGTTATGTGGCAAAGGATGGTTCCTCAAGAGGTTTGTTATGTTTATTCTTAGTTTTACAATTACTCTATTTAAGCATTATAATAAGTTATAATTCTTTTTGTTCTGGAAAGTATTTAAATTGAAACATCATAAAATAAGTGTCTGGCAGCATAGCAGGTCCTGAAAAATTTCAATCCATTATTCACACAAGGAAGTGTGAATAATGTTTTCACAATTGTACTAGAAACTGTGGCAGAAAATGAAGAATTAAACATTCTGATTAACAGTGATTGTGAGAGGTTGATGATGACACCAATAAGGAGTATTCTTATTGAGTAATAAACACCCCGATTAGACAGGACTGGGGGAGAAAAGGATATCTCTGACAGGGTGGAGACAGCACATAGTGTACAGTGAATAGAGGGCCCTGTCTTTAGTATATTAAGAGTAGATATTTCCTTCAAAGAATGACACAAAACAGAAGGGGAAAAAATGAAACAATGGCATGAAAATAGGAAATTTTCAAGAAAAATCCCTTCTCTCCACATCCCTAAAATGGTCATCATAATCCAAGATCTCCACCTCCAAAACGATTATTTTGCAGTTACTCTCTGGAGAGCCCCTTTGACATCCTTGTTTCTCAGACTATAAATAATGGGGTTCAACATTGGAGTCACCACTGTATAGAACACAGAGATCATTTTATCTCGCTCTTTTGTGGTCTTGGAGTTTGGCCTCATGTAGGCAAATATTCCAGACCCATAGAAGAGGA